GTATTGAGCATGATATTATGTAAATATAGCTTTATTAATTTTAATAATAGGTTTCATCATTTTACAGTATTCAATTTCACTTTTAGGCTTATTATTATTCTTACATTAGTCATACTATTAGATATTCTGTTACAATTTTTGTAAATACGCTATTCAGCCCCTTAGAGGGCTAGCTGCCATGTATTTATTTCTTTAGTAAACACATTCAAGTGTCTTGCTCGGCAATGTCCTGTATTCGCTGACGCGCTGCCACAGCTGCATCTCGTCGCGGCCGGAACTCCTTTGCAGTTGGGTTCAAAGGTGGGTCATGAAGGGGCTGACCTTGAAACCCCTTGCATCCAAAGCAGTGCTTCTCTTAGCAAGCCGTCGAAGCCTTGGCACCCAGAATCTTTCTCGGACTTTAGCCATAGTCATGCTGACTCCCCCATGGAGAGTTACCTCGTGCGCTCGCTTCACTATTTCCACTGTGAAAGAATTCGAATCTGGTAAGTAAATCGGATACTCACCCTGAATGCGTCCTCGGCATTCCAATACACCATCGGTGTTTAGTTGCAGATTCAGTTGTTCCTGGTCACGGGCAAACTTGACCTTCTTTGCCCCTTGGCTCTGCGCTCGCTTGATCCAGGACATTTCTTGTTGATGAATTTCTTCGGTCGTAAGAGGTCCTATGATCCTCTTGGAGGGGTGACGAGAATTGTGATTGAACCGCAAGATCCATGTACAAATTCTCATGGCTTTACGCAAGCCAAACTTCTCGAGAACAGTGTCAAAGTCATTGTTTGCTTCAACACCGAGCGCGAAAAGTTCTCGTTGAACCTTCTTTTCTGCATTGCTGTCATCTGTCGCTGTTGTCACAATATTAGCAGGCCACTGAGATCGGTCGGATAACCACAGTGGACCTTTCCACCATAGCTGTGCTTCATTCACACTGCCACCTCTGCTCCCCAGATCAGCGGGGTTTTCGGATGTCGGTACAGGTCTCCACTGCGTGTTCGGGTGGCTCTGGATCTTTTTAACCCGATTAGCCACAAATTGGCGGTACTCCCCGTCATCGTTCAGCCAGTGTAGGGCTACAGTGCTGTCGAGCCAGCACTGTATATCCTCTGTCATACTGAAGCCTTCTAGCGCAACCCGCACATTTGTAGACAAGTTTACTGCCATATGGCCTGACACGA